ACATTCTTTAATAACCACATAGGCAAAAACAGGGTCCGCGTTGTATTTACTATTTAGTATTTACCTGAAAGCACTACTCATTTTTTGTGCATGTATGTGTGTGTGTATGTGTGTGTGTGTGTGTTGGGGGGGAGCGGCGGGGGGGGGGGTTGTGGGGGGGGTGCGTGAGCTGGTAGAAGTCACCTTCATTTATTGTCTTCTTTTTTGCATCCCTTATTTGTTTTTATAAAACCAAAGAATGTGCCACCCTGCAGAGCATCTGGGCATTTTTTCCATGGCCTGCACCTGGGCTTGCGGACGCGATGCTCAGCTGCTGGATTCACACAGCGCTCTTTTCCTCCTTTGGGGGGTTTGAACATAAATGGTTGTTTTAAAATATTTATTATGTAATATGTATGCTATTATGTAGTACACACCCTTTTTTACCACTTGTGCCATTATGTCATACCTGGGTATAAATAGCCCACGTTGACATAATAAAGGGTTGTCATCTCCACTTCCCCAACCCCAACAAAAACACCATCCACCCACCCCCCAAACCCCCCCAAAACCCCCCATCCACCCGGAACCCCCCCTCAACTTCTTTCCTTTTCACAAAAAGTTAGCAAAGAGCATCAATAAAGGCTAAAGCGCCAGTGGCCGCCGAAAAATGGTCAGTTAATCCGAAAGGGCGCTTTTTGGATGTACTGGCCTGCCTGCCCTGGGTCCAATACATCAATGATGGGAAAACTGTCAGGGTGCCACAGAAGAGTCCCAAAAAAAAAAAAAAAAAAAAAAAAAAAAAGGGTCCCACCCACCAATGGTATGTTCCTGGGGCCTCGTCCCACTAGCGTCGATTTACTCTTCGGCTCCATGGCTTTCAACCGCGTGCGGCGCGAGGTGACATCCGGCGACCGTTGATCCTTTTGTGTATCGTCGGCGAAGGGCGATAAGGACCTATTTCGTTAGGGTATCTGTACGCCGGCCAATAGAAGAATTTCCTTTTCATTTTTTTGCCCATTTAGCTAGCCACTTTGCGTTGGCGCGAAGCTGCAATATTAGGGAGGTCCCAGGCGGGGGGCGTTTTTGCATCGATGTTGTTTTCTTTTTTTATGTGGTAAAATTGAGAATATTGAGATTTCCGTGGAAGACTGCGAAAAGGCCAGCGGGAAGGTCGCATGCAGATGCACCGGGTTGGTGGAAGTGTCGATGCACTGAAGCTCTGTCATGATGTCGATGTCAGGGCCCGTAATTTTTCGTTTTTCGGGTCCTTTTCTTTGCATTCGTGTAAATGATAAAAAGCATTGTTTATGAGTTTTTAAATGAGAAAAGAATGCCACACACCGATTTACTCGATGCTAGTGGGACTTGGCCCCTGGAGTGCTGTACACAGTTTCCAGCAAAAAAAAAAAAAAAAAAAAAAAAAAAAAAAAGAATGTCAGGCAATTGTCCATCCAGTGGTATGTGGGTATGTGTTTTCATTTTCATTCCCCCCCCCCCCTTCCCACAATGCGTTGGATCAGTATGTGGATACTTGTCCCTCCTTTGGTATGGCGATTTTCTTTCTTTTTTCAAGTTTTTTGCTTTTTATTGTTTATTTGTGACTTTCTGGTGTGAACACGGTAGCACAATCTTAAATGTATCTGACCATAACTGCGGCCCTACTTGGATGTATCTGACCGCAATTGCGTCCATCAATAAATAAAAAAAGTCCTATTGTGAGTGTGCCATCAGCTCTCAAACATATTTTCATTAGTACATCCTGTAATATCCCTGCCAGTCTCTGCAAAATGTGCCCCTGGCCCCCCAAAAAAGACAAAAAAAGACAAAAAAAAGACAAAAGACAAAAAAAAGAAAAAAAAAAGAAAAAAAAGAAAAAAAAAGACAAAAAAAAAGACAAAAAAAGAGCGAGTCCGTGCAAGACCCGTCATAATTGTTCCGATGTGTGCAGCACGTGTGAAATGTGAGTGAAAGAGAAATAGCAATCTGCGCAAGACCCCGATCAGATCATCTACCCCCCCGAAAACCAAGCCCCACTACCCCCCTTCAAATCAAGCCACCTTGTACTTTTAAGGGGCCCACCAGGGAACCAAACTTTTCTCCTTTGAAATGAGAGATTATGAACTATCATTACCTACAAGTGGCCAAAACGGCTTGCAGGTTCACGTGCCCCGGTGTGTGCATGCATGCATTCTGAAACGTAATTAAGTTGTATGCCGGAGATACTCGGTTCAAGCCCGCGTGGGCTTCTGGTTTTTTTTTTTTTTTTTTTTTTTTTCCTTTTTTTTTTGGTAAAGGTCCTTTGCGCAAGGGAGCCCGCATCGGCTTCACAACAGGCTTGCACATTCTTGTACTTGGCAAAGTAACCAAGTTGCAATCCAAAGGGTCGTGGATTCGAACCTCCTCGCCCTCCTGGACATTTTTGTGCATCCTTTTATCAAGTAAGGCAATAAGATTTGTTATAGCCCCCCCCCTTCCCCCACCAAAAAAAAAAAAAGGAAAAATTTTCGAAATGCCTCTGAAGTTTGCGTTTATTTGCGGCGTGCCCCTCTGGCGGCCGACCTACCTTGCCGTGCCCCTCTGACGACGAATGATGTTTCCAGACTACCCCTGGATGGGCCTCAAAAATGTTTCATATGCCCCTACCGGTACAGGTACCAAATGTTCAGTATGCCCCTACCGGCTGCCCGTTGAGAAACAGCAGTAAAGTTTCCCATATGCCCTTACCGGTACCGTCCATCTTTCCAGCAAGCCCCTGTCGCGGCTGTTGACACTTGCAGTCCATACGAAGGGAAGAGGAGGGAAGAGGAGGGAAGAGGAGGGAAGAGGAGGGAAGAGTAGGGAGGACAAGGACTACGACGATGACGGATGAGGGAGGAACGAGGGAAGAGGAGGGAAGAGGAGGGAAGAGGAGTAGGGAGGGAAGAGGCGGGAAGAGGAGTAGGGAGGACCTTTGATTCGTCATCATATACCACCTGTCTAACAAACAAGTAAACGAAAAGATGACACCAACACACACACACACACACACA